TCGGCTCGCTTTATGCGGCAGGCGGATTTTGAGGAGCACTTCGCTGGCATCCTCCGTCTCGCCTGCCTCGTCGGCAGCAATGACTGTAGCCTACAGAAGTCGCCGCCTCCTCTTGTCCCTCTTTCTGCCTATCTTATCCCCAAGAGGGGGAAGCGACCGCGCTGGTGGCTCACGCGTGGGGGGGTTAAGAGAGCGAAGAGTTGTAAATACCACCGTTTCGCCTTCAGAAAGGGCTTTGATTTCCGGGAGCTGATCGCTTCGTAGAAGCTGGAAACGTATAGATCCTTTGAACCATAGGCGACGAGCCACCGTGCGTCACGCAGACAACAGGCGAGAGCGCGGGTAAGTAAACCATTTTTATTGGCTTCTTGAAAGAAGGTTCACCCCAGCAGCAATGTAGATCTGATACCGTACATGCTGTGGCGCTGAGCCCGCTTCCCGTAGGATAGTATAAGACTGGAATTTTGACGTGCAGAGTCCACTGTACTCTTAGCGTTGAGATCGCGTGGTTTTGGTCACCATAGGGCTGTTGATTCGCACGTTGGGATCGATGTGCAGTAAGTTTGGGAGATGCCAAAGATGGCGTAAGTTAAGTGAGATTTTAACGGGTGTGGTTTGAGCCAATGGAGAGGGCATATGAATTGCTGGTAGGTTGTTGCTGTTTTTGAGCCTGGCGCACGGCAATGCGTTAAGACGATGAGGCGAACTTTAACAGTGTTCTTGCAGTATGTTAGGTTTCATGGTCTTTCATGGTGCAGTTTCACGTTGGGGAGCTGTAGCATGATACATTTCATTGAGGCTGAGGACGACAAGGCCCTGCTCCAAACGCCAGAATTAAGCCATTTGGGAATGGCCAGGTTGCGCCCAGCCATGGTGCGCCTTTTGCGCACGCTAGATGTTTATGGTGTTCTTAAAGATGTTCAAGTACGTTTAATAACTAAAGGAAGCAGAAAGCTGTATGTATGTGTATGTGTTTGTATGTGTGTGTGTGTGTATGTGTATGTGTGTGTGCGTGCGTGCGTGCGTGTGTGTGTGTGTGTGTGTGTGTGTGTGTGACAGAGAATGAGAGAAAGAGAGGACGAAAATAGCTGGAGGCTATTTATTCCCATATATTACGTATCCATGTTATAAGCTACAGCTGAAGCTTTAGTCATTCACTCTGACTGGACGTGTGTGTCAACATGCAAGCTATGACGAAATCTGATTATCTTCATGCATCCCATAATTCATCGTTTGCAGTAGTAAAATACCGTAGTGAAACACAGATATTGATTACAAAGTGTTCAATGACCAACTTCAAATGTTTTCAATGACTTCTAAGACTTGCCTGCTACCAGATGTGTCATATTTGTCTGTTATTTGCTAATTTGGCAACACCCTACAACCCCCAGCTCTTACACCGCCACAACACACACACACGCACGCACACTGTATTAAATCTACAAACAACGTCAGTGCATGAGGATTAAATCAACCAATACTGCCACCTTGTGCCCACTCTACATACAAGGCCATTGGAGGGAGTAACAGATGCTCAGGAAAGGCCACTGACTTCTCTGTCATAAATATAAAGTTGAGTGTTTTTCTCTTCTCCTGCTGAAGTGGGAATCACATCTTTATGGGCAGCGTGGCAGACATATGGATATATGTATGTATGTATTCGTATTCATAGAGAAAGAAAAAATTAGAACATTGAAACAATTTTTTTCTTATAGTTTATTTGCAGGAATTTACATATAAAACAAATGTATGTCTTCCAGCAGTCAGATAAAAATGTGTAGTTTTATCCAAGGTGGTTACAATTATTAATGTATTAATTACGTTATAATACGATGTATCCTTCTTATTATTATTCACAAATTCACACGTTTTAAGATGAACTGTGCTGTGCTGATGCTGGATTGTGTTGAATGGAATTGAACATAAACACCATCATGGCTTCTGGGAAATCCACGTGTTGATATCTGAAAAGAGAAAAGGGAAATATTAATTTTAGCCACCAATTGTTGTGCAGTCACAGCTCATATAACCGGATTGTCAGGAAGGTAAGGTTTTGTGTTTGATTGTACGTGGATTACCTCTGAATATTAATCCTGAAAATTATTGTAAGCGCAATTAGTACTTTGTGAAGCTTGAAGATTTCCTTGTACATTTGTAATATTGTGTTGTTTTGCATTTTCAATGGCTTCCTACACTGGAAATAATGCTGTTTGGAATCAACATGATTAAAATGTGTCAAGTGGTTGTTCATGAATGAAATAAAACGTCACACTTGCCAAAACAAATAACACACACACACACACACACACACACACACACACACACACAGATATATATATATATATATATATATATATATATGTTGAAAGCAACTGTGCAATTGTGTTGGTGTGACATTGTCTTTGTGGGCAACAACTTGACACAACAAAATCATAAACCATTTTTTGAGGGTGTTTAATATACCAGTGTATTCAAAATGGGGAAAGCAATTCATGTTGTGTACCCAGTATTTGCGCATGTTTGTGTTTCCTGAGCGGATGTTTTTCACTGTCTGCAGTTGTGCCTCTTAATAAGCCGAACTGTATGAGTTGGCATCATGTGTAGCCGATTTGTACCAATACTGTTCCAGTCCACTGTTTATTGCTACGTGTACTGAATCTAAAAGGTGAGCCTAATAAGGTCCCAAACAACGTGAAAGTGACACATTTGTACAGACTGGCCCGCTCTAAGGTAAACCGTGAGTCAGCCTGGCGTCCGCAAGCGCGCAGAACTTCAACCATAATTTACAGTTGCTGTACATGTAAAAGAAATTCCAAGCAAACTTCCAATTCCAGCCATATCTCCAGCGAGAAGTGCAGGGCAGTGCGAGTTCGATCTACCGCATGGAGGCCACAACAGGGCCGCGTCATTTCACAAGATAATCTTGTGCTAGTTAAAAACCATAATGCCCCTTTTGGGGTCTTGCCTTGCTAATAAGCGCTAAGCTGCGTCTGAGAGCATTGTTACAGCTGTCACGTTACAATTATGGATTTTGTTTTCGCGCAGATCCATCGACACAGATGACAGCAAGCGCTTGGAAAAGTTGGGGCCTGGAGCATCGAGTTGAGGGATTTGGCATTTGAATTTCCTGTAGTGAAAAATCCATTACGTGTCAACAGGCCAATACAAACAGTCTCACGCAGACCTCGACTATGTGCTGAGCTCGCAATTAGCAGAGCGCAGTTTGGCAGCTTCTAGCTTTTTCCCTTTCGTCTTGCAGCTAAGCCTCGCGCTCATGTCGCAGCTGCTAGTACACAATGTAAAAGATAAAGTCTTTTTTTGTTGTTGTTGTAGCAGCTCTGAACGAGCGCTTCTCGTCAAGTCAAAGGAAATACAGGCCAAACGGGCTCTCAGTTTATTGCCGCTTCCAACGCCTGAGACGCAGCCATGTGATTCGTCTTAAGGGCCGCAATAAAACACTTACAGCTCTTTTTCTCCCGAGTCACATACCAACAGCTGACTGTGAGCGCGCCGAGGTTTACTCGCAGCTCGCGCTAGTAAAGAAGCGAAGAGCGGCGCAGGCAAACAGTGGGGCAATATTAAATACCCCCTAATGAAAGGCTCTTACTTCAAAGCCGATCGAGAGTTATACTGTCGAAGATCAAAGACTCAGAACGTGCAGAGACACGTCACCTGCTTTGATCTTTTTCATTTTCTGACAGAGCGCAGGGTGAGGCGCAGGCCTAGCATAGGCGCTAAAGTAATGTAGGAGAGGAGAGACGGTAGGCCAGCAGTGCTGCGCTCAGCACGCGCTTATCTGCTCCTTTATTTCTCTAATTTATTCTACATTTGATGCAGCAAATCTGTGTTTATTTGCATGTGTGATGAGGCTCACACGCAGCTCACACTCAGAGCTTTTCTGACTTTGAGATCACGTTGATTAGCCGTTGACTCTGCAAACAAGGAAAGGTTTTGATTTATGGATAATATTTTTCTCTTGTTGTTTTCGGTATATTTAAAAAGCAAATTCGCAAAAATAAATAAATTAAGAAGTATTCACTAAAAAATGTAAATAAATAAATGAAGTCAATATGTACGCACAGAATATTTTGTGTAAATAAGAGGTGACTCACTAAGCTATAGTAATTAATCATAATCATAAATCATAAATATCGCAAATCTTGTATTTTATTGTTGTAAGAGCGCATTACTAAATAATAACCAATAACATATCAATAATAACAATTACTGCACTGGAATCTAACAATTTTGCACTTAGTATTATTATTTACGAATTATTATTATTTGCAATTGTAATATAAAAACAAGTAAAATAAAATACAATAAAAATAATAATATTTATTATTGTTATTATTATTATTATTATTATTATTATTATTATTATTTTATATTATTGCTGTTGTTGTTATAATAATTGGCTTACAAATCAACAACCAACATCAATATCATCAACAAACCAATCATCACCAACAACGTTAACAATAATAATAATAATAATAATAATAATAACAATAATAATAATAATAATAATTGTGTTATATTTTTATTGTGAATATTATTCATAAGTATTACTTTAAAAAACTAACCTCTAAACTAAATTATTGTTACATTTGTAAGCTATTTTCCTCTCTTCTGACTTAGATAATGTTATATAAAGTGATATTTACGTCAACATTAGCACATCTATATCCGATTGCTTTATGAATGAAATAAGTGTGGGCGAAATGCAAGCAGGCAACTATTTTTTTAACCTCGCTCAGTGTCTTCAAGCTCATTAATCCCCCTCTGTTCACAGCCAGGGCTGCATAAAGCACCATTCTTTCGTTAATGTCATTTATGTCTGAAATAAATTGAATTAATAAGCAGATTTACATACCTCACTCCTGTTTAGAGCCTTTTTCCCTGTCAGGCAGGGGCTAAACTCTGCTCTTCTGTCAATCTAATGTCGCGCGCACCTCTTTCAGGACCACTGTTTTTGGCCTCACACTTTCAGTCATGTGGACTGCATTAGGGTCACTCGCTCTGCACCACGCGCTCATTTCAAAACGCCCGTCTTTCCACTTTCGTGATCGAGGGGGATTTTACAGACCATTCAACCTGCGGAGCCACATTTGCATAAATCAGGTAAAAATATGGAGCTGTCCGCTCTGATTTCTCCACTGGTAGTGAGGTTTAATGTTTGAGGGCTAATACTGACCACAGAAGCCACACTAACGCCAAGTTAATCCGTAAAACTGTAAAGACTCGCTTCGCCATTCTGCTCGGAAATGATTCGAGACTCAGTTTGAAGCGCTGTCGCCCTTTTACATTGTGTGTAGGTAATTGCTGAGGAATAAGCAGGAGATAAGCGACCCACTGCACAGCCCCCCTAAAAGTGCAGACGGTAATTACTTCAGAGCTGGAAGTCTTCAGTTGGTTTTGTGACTTTTATGGCACCGAGGCGCGTTTGACGCATTCTTTAGTAAGATGCCCCCTCCCCCCCCGCCTCCTTCCTCCTGTCCCTTTTAGCGGCGAAATTATCAATACAATACAAATGGGGAAAGGAAAGGCACAGACGTTTCCCCTTTTACAACCAAGAAAAGCCCGAGGAAACGAAAAGAAAACAGATATTTCACACAAAATAATGAAATGATCTCCCTGTTCAAACTTCCTCAGTGGAGCTCTTTGACTGAAGTGTAAATAAGCCAATTTAGTGAAATATATATTAACCACTTTATACTGTAAATGCCCATGATGCCTGCTGTGGCGTAACGTTGGCGATTTAACCGGCAAATATATTCAATGTTAAGTAGCTTTAAGCTCTTATCATCAGGACAGCTATGCCATGCACAGTCCACTGTTTTAATCTAAAAACATAAACATATCATCTTTAAAATGTCATGCCAAGCAAGACATGGTGCGCAATAATCTGGACAGGCAGTTCGATGAGGTGAATTCGTGCATAAAACTCCAATATTCCCACAAACTCACTCACTGAGCATGTTGTTTGCCTCCCTCTCTGACTTATGACGCATTTGACGCATTGATTGTTGTACATTTAGGTCATATTTCCCTCCTTATCCAAAAGAGAGAGCGAGAGAGACCGAGAGAGAGAGAGAGAGAGAGAGAGAGAGAGAGAGAGAGAGAGAGAGAGAGACTGTTTTCCTTAAACATTATCAACTGAAACCAGTGGGATATGAAGCTACAAGCTACATATTCCCCTCGTACACAGCGCTCTCAATTGGTGGAGAGTGGTCAGGTGACGTTGTCATATTGTCCTTCCTTGAGCCAAGCCTTGGCTATAACACTTGGTTTGCGCGTCTTAACCGGAGACTAGAAATTAATATTATTGAAATCCCGCTTGAACTTCATTTGAAAGCGAGTTTGGAAGGCAGGAAGGAGAAGCGCGGTGTGTTGTGTTGTGAGAGTGAGAGTGTGTGTGTATGTGAGAGTGTGTGTGTGTGTGTATGCATGGGCGAGGGACACACACACACACTTAGGCGCGCAGAGAGGAAAGCGTGAGAGAGCCTGGGAAAAGGTGGGAAATAAGAAAGAAGGTAGAGTTGAGGAGAGGGCGATAGGGGGGGAAACAAACGACAAAACAAAACCGGCATGAATTCGTATTTCGCGAACCCGTCGCTCTCGTGCCATTTATCCGGTGGCCAAGAGGTTTTGCCCAACATGCCACTGAACACGAGCACCTATGATCCGGTCAGACATTTCTCGTCTTACGGCTCCACGGTGACCCAGAACCGGATTTACGCGTCCCCTTTCTACTCCCCCCAAGACAACGTGGTGTTCGGGTCAAGCCGGGGACCCTACGAGTACGGATCTAACGTGTTCCTCCAGGACAAGGACGTGCTCCCCAGCTGCAGGCAAACGAGCATGGGACTCAATGCGCAGAGCCACGTTGCTCAGGACTACAGCCTGGAACAAGCTCGAGGCGGGACGCAGGAGCAGAAGGGAAACATCCAGATCTACCCGTGGATGCAGCGCATGAACTCGCACAGCGGTGAGTTTACTCAGCAGTGGGGCTTTTGGGGGGGATCTACCCTGGTGGAAACGGCTCGCCCTTTTTACGATATGTCCTAGCAACGGAGCGGCTACATTTTATGGCCCCATAAACCACTGCTAAATCGTCAGACTATAAAAGGGCCCTTTTTTTTCAAAGAGGGGGAATCCCATTTGGCCAAAAGCTCTCTCTAAACTCCAGCACCAAAAGAATTAAAAAAAATTGCGCCTAGTTTTAAAATGCGCTGGAAATGGGAAACAAATTTCTGACTATTTTAAAGAAGTGAAGTTGTGGAATATTAGTGAAAAGTTTGCGGGGGAGAAAGTAAGAAAAAGTACGTCTCACGCACAATATTTTATTCATTTAAATATAATCTATTTAATATATAAAAGACAATGCAAATCAGCTGCTATTTCCCACTTGCAAATAGTTCCGTATGGATTTTTTATGCGTTGGTTACTTGTCATATTTGTTTATTCACTTCATATTTTCTCTTCATCGTTCTTTGTTTTTTTTCCATGTTGTAAACAGGAGTTGGGTACGGCTCAGACAGAAGGAGAGGTCGACAGATTTACTCCCGATACCAGACCCTGGAGCTGGAAAAGGAATTCCACTTCAATCGCTATTTGACCAGACGCAGACGGATTGAGATCGCCAACGCTCTTTGCTTAACAGAGCGCCAGATCAAAATCTGGTTCCAGAACCGCCGCATGAAATGGAAGAAAGAGACCAACCTAACTTCGACTGTAACCGGAACCGACTCGGGGCCAACACAGGAGGCAGAGAAACAGAGTGTTCAGGAGAAGACAGAAGAAGTGGAAAAGAATGACTAATAATACGTTTCTATGTTTTGTATTTTAATCCTAAACGCCTGTTAAACTGCAACGTAACTACCTAAACTTCTCAGAAATGCAATTGTAACTGCATGGACTGTATATTCTGCTATACCCTTTCCCTTTTCCCTATCAATACCACACAAATACTCACTTAGAGTAGAGAGAGAGAGAGAGAGAGAGAGAGAGAGAGAGAGAGAGAGAGAGAGAGAGTATACCCAGCGTTATGCAATTCACACCTCTTTGTATTGCCTTGTTTTTTGGCAGTGTGGATAAACAAATAAAAGAAAGTCACCAATACATGCTATTTGTGTGGTACCCAGCCCTAGTATTATCGTGTTTCTATAGCCTTGTAGACAGTTACTCTATGAAATGAACTGTGCGCTAATTGGATCAGTGGGCTATGCTTTTGTTTTCTCACTGATACAGTTTGCAAAAAATGTACCATCAGCATTTCAAATGTGAAGGAAAAAATATAGTCTATGCACATGTTGTGTTGTTTTGTTCTCGCTCATTTGTACAAAAGCACCAGCATTGACGGGATGAACCGTACTACCTAAACTCTTCTAACTTTTTGTGTTCATTTCATTCGCCTATATCCCGTCAGTGCATGGATGTGCAAAGCGCCGCTGTACTGGCTAAATATGTACTGTTCAGTGAATTTAATAAAATAAAACAAAATAAAAAACTCTTATAGCCATCATTATAATGTCTTAAAGCGAATAAATCAGCTATGAAAATGTAAAAAAAGAAAAAGAAAAAAGCAAAAAAAAAAATACCTTGGTTCGCAATTACAAGTCTATTGTTTGTCACACAAATGTGTATTATTTAATAAAATGAATTAAAGACAAAAGTGCTCGGTCTGCTTTGTCTACTTCATTTCTTTTTTTATAAACACATTATAGGTTGATTGTGCGCAACACTTTTCATTTTCCAGTTGAAACAACATGAACAAATGAAATATTTAATGCAATTTGGGGGAAAATTCTAAATTATTTTCAAAAGAGACTTTTCCTAATGTCAGTGTTGAGCTGTCTCTTCTTTATATAACATACAATGTATTGAATAAAGTTTTACATTATATTATAAAATAAGCATCAAAGCTCTAAGTTATTCTTCTCCGAATGGTTTTAGGGACTGCGGAAAACATAAGAGGATTACAGTACGGTTTACTTGCCTGGGTAACGTGGCGCCTAATTTGAGGGACTGTTTGGTCAATAAATGAACCAGGCCACCTGTGTGAAGTGATTTTTGGTTAAAAATTCCACCAATGTACAGTTACGGCCAAATAGTCACAGTGACAACTGTTACTTTATGGTACCCTTGCAACAAGATCTTAGAACATCAGAGCATCTCCATTTGTCTTCCTTAAAAGAACATCCGCACAAGCTAATTGAGATGGACAATAGAAATTTCAATAGAAAGAAAGTGATAGGCCTATGTCATTACAACAACATAGGAAAGGACTATCGCGCGCGCGCACATGTATATGTGAGATACTGTGTCAGCTTTGCCCAGTATCAGACACCAGATGACGCTCTTGTCTAACTGTCTCGCCCCTTTTTGCCCAGACCCCTAGATGGTCTCCATACCACGAATTTATCGGACACGTTCCCCCAATCCATCAATAACCTCCTGGGGATCAAGCCAATTTATGACTGGCCAACATTTGCACGTGATTCTATTTAAACTTCCCATATTTGGGCATTACACGTTGCATCTCGAAAAAAAAACGCAAATGATATCCCCCCACCTATAAATCCTGCTCTTTTTTAGGACAAACCCCCTCAACTTCCAAAAAAGAGACATCAAATCCAATAAACAGTATAAACAACAACAACAAACAACCTATGTATGCTTTATGTTGATTTCTGGTGTAACTGCGTGTTTATGGTGCTCGAGTCCTGTCTAGGCTGTTTTGTTTCGGAAGTAGAATGAGCTCGTACGTAGGGAACTCTTTTTGTAAGCCGACGCACGACGCGTCCTCTTTCACCATGCACACTTTTGGCAACTATGGGTCTCTCTCAGAGTTCCACCAGTCCAATTATGCTTACGGAGGGCTCGATCTCAGTGGAGCTCTAGCCCCTGAAGTGTCCTCCAACTCCCCGAAACGGGAGGCGATGAGCACACACGACCGTGCCAGGATCAACGCACCACCACCACATCGACAGCCCTGCGCAGCGGTGGGCTCCCCAAGCCCCGTTAGCTCACGCGGGTACAACTTGCTCGGTCACGGACTGTTGAGCCAAAAAGCCGAGGAGATTATGGAAGTTACGGAGAAGCCCAGCGGCAAGAGCCAGGCTGGAGATGTGAAGCTGGAGAGCACTCCAACGATCAAACAGCAAACTAATTCGACTGAGCACCAGACCCAGTCGCAACCGCAGATCTATCCGTGGATGACCAAGCTGCACATTAGCCACGGTAAAGTTACATTTAATGCTTTTTTTAAAGGAGAGAAAAACTGTGCATCTCTCATTCTCGTCATCACATCTCCTTCCTCTCCGTGTTTTTGTCCCTCCATACTTTTTTCCTCTTGAGTTTTATAGGCCAAAAGCAGGAAATAATAAAACTCGCGGTCGTAAATTTTATGACAAAGGCATCCATTGCTCGTAAACCTGTCCTGTTACTGTGAAGAGGTGATCTGCGGCCAAATTTACTGCGATATAATTGGATAAGAGAAACAAAAATAGAAACAGCGACAAATGCAGATTCAGATATGGGCGTTTGATTTCTTTCCAAGAAATCATTTAGCGTTTGGGTGAAAATGGGAAAATGGGAAGATGCGCTTTCTGCACTGAAAACGGGACAGAGGACAGAGTCCCATCCAATTTTCGGCTGTAAGACTCTGTTTTAAAAATGTCATTCCCTTCACGTTTAGCACTTAGTGGTTTTCAGTGGTGTGACTGGCTTAAGCAGCTCTAAAAGTAATACTTCCAAATGGAACCACAGCAACAGCTTCTTTAATGCCAAAATCACGTGTACATTTAGAAAACTGGGGGAAATTTTTGCTGGGCATTTTTTAAGTTCCATTCCATTTTGCAAGCTCCACCATAGTCGTGCTTCATCAGCCTCATACTTTTTATTTTTAATGTTTTTTGTTATTTCATCGTGGTTAGATCTGTATTTCTTGTGGATGGTGTGCTAGAGGACTTCATCATTTGCACTGATGCAAAAAATGCATGTGGAAGAACGTCGCAAATGCTGTGCAGGAGATAACCAATATGTTTCTGATGCCACCCCAGAATCTGACGGTAAAAGGTCACGAACCAGTTACACCCGCTACCAGACTCTGGAGTTGGAGAAAGAGTTCCATTTCAACCGATACCTCACACGGCGCAGGCGAATCGAGATCGCCAATAACCTCTGCCTAAACGAGAGGCAAATCAAAATCTGGTTCCAGAACCGCCGCATGAAGTGGAAGAAGGACTCAAAACTGAAAGTCAAAGGTGCTCTTTAATGTGATGGCATGGTGAGAGAATTATGGCATGGCAACGTGCAAACAGGATGGAAATCCAACCTAAGTTTATCACAGTACCTTCAATGTTTGGAAATGATTTCATGCCTTTTAAGTACAGGCCATACAGGCCGTTAACGTGTTTGTAAAATTGTGGTTATGTAATATGTATTGTCCCATCACTTGTTCAGTTCATAAGACTGCGAGAGAGGAGGGGCGTATGTGGGCCACGCCCACTCCTGTTTATTTTACAATATAGGTTGGTTGTGGAAATGTAACTATAGTGGTTGGAGACAGTTTATTGTTTATGGGTAAAGAAAAAGGAAATATTGTTTTGTTTCAAAATGTGTAAATATGTGATCTTTGAGCTTTCAATATGAATTAATTTGCCTTCTGTATGTTACTTTTGTATGTCTGACAGAATATGTCTGTATATTGTACTGTCTAACGTGAACGCGTCAACAATACGAGCACAGTAATGATGAACTGCACGCAACGCGAGTAACTGAGCATATATTGTCATATTATTCACTGTACGCTGCACTATCACGCTAAGTCTTTGTGTTTACTTACCCTGTGGTTTTATTTTGCTGTTGAAGACTTTAAATGGTCAGTCTGATTTTCTACCAGTAAAGTAAACAGGGGCACGGCCAGTCAAAGGCTGACCAGTGTAATGTTACATAGTCCAATGTTGCACCACTTTTTATTAATTTTTTTAGTCTTCAATTGATAAAAAGTGTGATCATGTGTTTCTCCATTTTTTAGGGGCTAAATACGTCTAAATGCTTAATTCTAGTTTACAAGCTCTGTATATAAGTGAAATAATGTGGTGGCCTCACGATTAAATAAACTTACGACTGAATAGCCTTCAAATCGCAATTCTGATTGCTTCATAACTTTCTCCACCAGAAGAAAAGAATGTCCACCAAATATTAGATTTTTTTTATGTTCTTCCGCTCATAGCTAATCCCTCCCAAAATAAATCTCTCAAGAAGCTTTTTTATATTTTTGTACATTCTTAAAAATAATGGCTCATTAAAGGTTCTTGGCTGCAGGGGAAAATGTAATTGATATAAAAAATTTAGGTCATGTGAAGGTTCTTCAAATCTCAAAAAGGTTCTTCACACGAACATCTCATTTACAAAAACGTCTCAACCATTGAGGCACATTTATTTCTATTGTATTTCGTGCTTTGGCTGGATTCCTCATTATCCTGCACAGGCCTTTGCTTACCCTTATAGTTTTCAACCATGACCTGCTTTCTTTCTGTTCATGAGTCTATGAGATAACACTACATGATGTTGGTTGTTATTTAAATGTTTGGCTCCATATTTCGTTACAAGTAAACACAAAGTGCTCGAGGACCAAACTATTCGTCCACCAAATAATGAGGCACGATGGGGCTTTCCCCGGCCACCAATTATTTACAGTAGCCCTGAGACAGAGGCGCATAAAACTTTATGACCCCAATAAAGTTTTACTGCGTTTCCTCACACCTCTCAAACACTGACAACTGTTTCCTTTTCAGCAGAGCAGCGGAAGTTTACACGCGCGTTTCAAAGAGCCGCTTGGACGAAAAGTACACATCGCACACAGATTCGCATTTAAACGTTTAAACAGTCTCAAAACGCCGAGTCGATTGCGTAATTGCGTCATGCATCACAGAAAGGTTGCATTTAAAACTATTTTAATGTATCTTATTGTAGCATAACAGCCTTCCTTCAATCGAGACTCATGCCTTCACTAAATTGCTATGTTGGGTTACTTCATTTTTTTCATTGTTCCTTCATTCCTTTTTTCTTCAGTGGAAATCTGTCATTAAGATGAACTGACATATTACATAACAGGTCCTCACATGCCTTGTCTGTCACTCAAGGTCGAGAAAACAGTAGATACACCATCATAAATATATTATTATAAATAATAATAAAAATTAATGTGTGTTTATTTATTTATTTATTTATTTATTTACGTTGAATTAACTGAAGAAATTAAGCTTCATTACTGTTCTCCCTTTTTTTGTCCTCCTCAACCTAACCACTACGTTTTTTCAGTTCAACGACCTTCAAAAAACCTCAATCTCCCGCATAACAAAACAGCATTTTAACATTTTTAAGCAGCTTTTCTAGTCGCTCTTACTCACCTACGCTGAAGTTTCAGAAACACTCGCTGGCTCACACGGCAGAACTGTGGCTACTAAGTTGCTTTTTTAAAAGTAAGCCCCTCTTTTTAGCTTTCTGGCCACGTATTTTGAAGTTTTGAGGGTTATTTATGCCGATTGCCTTAAGCTGGACCTGCGAGTGGTTCAGGGAGAGCACGTGGGGTCATTAGAGTGGGTTTTATGGCCTGGA